GGCGGTACGACCACTTTTTGTATAGTTTTGGTATTGTTGTGGCACCACCACCCGCATATATTGGGGTGAGGCGGCATAGCCGCTTTGTGTAAGTTCTTAGTATTGTGGTTATATATCCACCCACATACATCCAGGGCCGCTTGATTATAGTTGTGGTATTATACGTACACCTCCACCTGCATACATCGGGTGTCGCGGCGGTGCCGCTTTGTGTGAAGATGGTCACATAGGATCTCATCTTAAATCGTATAAATGTTGTTGATAGCTTTTAATAAGCTTGCTATGGTTGAGACAGTTATCTATATTATTCTATTGCCGCACTGGTTCATCATAATTATCTTGTATTTCTAAATTCTTAAATTGGTGTTTAGTTTTCATACTAGTACTATTCGAAGGTACTAATGTCCCTTTTGCCGGGGGCACTGCATCTTTAAATGGATGCAGGTGGTTCCATATCAGGAGACATTGATTGGTGATAGCAGTACACCTTCTTCCCAGTTGACGTGGTGAGCCCCACTTCATCCCGGGGTCATGTATCTTTTGATCTTTATGTATTATGGTTGAGGTATAGCCGGGGCCTTGTTGCAGGCATTATCATTGTACTCTTCTTTATCCATAGAGGCTCCGTAGACATAGTGTGTGTTGTGTATTGGTGTTGGGGAAAGACAAACTATGTTATGTTGTGGTTGTATTACTTGTCCATTTTAGACTTTAAAAATGATAAAACTATTGGTAAGAAATTGGTAATTGCAGACATGACCACTTTATTGTTTAATTAAGGAAAACATATATTCTCTTTATTCATGAATGAGTTTGGGTAGAAGGAATCTAATAGGCTTGCTCGGTCTGGTTCACTCGGTTGAGCACCGGTCGCGTTCCTCGGATTTTGGGGCGTGACATGTATCATGGATATTCCATAATGCCCATGAAAGGCTAAAGTAATAACTAATACCAGGATTCGCAAATCGGAAGATAGCTTGAGCCTGCAAAAAGGCTGATTAGAAGGAAGAGGAAACTAAAGAGTTACATCAACCAAGTAAATCAGGAGTCTGATTATTGGACCTAGAAAATTATAGAAATCGTGATGGAGAACAGTGCAGGATCACTCTTAATATCATAGGTACAAGAGAGAAAGTACAATAACCATGTTCTATAATGTCCCTACAATAAATCCAGTTGGAAAAGTACCAGCCTCATAAGAAGTCAGTACGAAGCTCCCACCGGATTGTGTATGCACCAGATGTGCAAGTATTATAATAGAGCTTCAAGTTATGGACGTGAATTGCACCTATGTGGAAGGGAGGTCATGAAAGAGATAGAAGATACGATGCAAGATTTTAAGGTAGTAAGGTAAAGGTGAACAACGTACAAAATACTCAAATGCGGAAGGTTGTGAATAGTCCATACTTGGATAAAAGGCCAGAAGCATGGGGATTCAGTATCCAGGAATGATAGCGGCATCGTCAGTAGCATATCTTCCAGCCTATGGTTTCTAGGTACCGAGAGATCTAGTCAAGATAGGAAAAAATAAAGAATTGGAGATGATGTGATGTCTCGCTTGATGTTCCAGAATAGCATAAGAAAAACTATGGTGCAAGCAAGCTGAAGGAAGGTGGCGTAGAATATAAATAGATATATGTAGGTCGCAAGCTAAAGTATGGTAAAGCGACAGGGTTTTAGGAAGACAGGAGTAAGGATAAGAAAGTGCAAGTGAGAAGGTGACAAGAATGGATAAGTCCTCAGGACTAAGACCACGAAAACAAGAAGAACTGATGGTTTCTCTAAGTTATAAAAAGCTCAGTATAGCCTGAATAAACTTAAAGAAGTCTAAGACTAATAGTATTTAGAAGAAATAAAATGCTGCCCTGATAGTATAATAAGGGTGTAATCATGATAGATAAAGGGTGATGTTTGGATCTTCTATTGAGTTATGATTTGAAGAAAAAAAGGGGGATTTCATGAGTTGTACAGGATTAGAATAACCCCCCATGGGATGAATCACGTTGGGATGCTATGAAATACGGTTATAGAAGCATAGTATCGCTCCCAGGTGGGTCAGTCTAATCATTTCAAATGTTCCACGATGAGATATGAGCCCTAGCGGCAGAGTTACATAAGAGACCAAGTTATCAGTGATAGAGGATAGATCAACATTAAAGTGAATCAACAATGGTTGGACAAAAGTCACAAAGTATAAGGTGAGATTAGGCCGTCCTTCTTAAGATGAATTGTAATGAAGAAATATTAAAGGACATAGATTTATACATATAGGATAAACAACGAGAGTAACCTGGAGTTTGGTAGCAGACCTCAGTAATGATAAATCAAAGTAAGAGTTATGGCAGTAAAGTCATACAGATGGATAAACAGATCTATGAAATAAGGTATAACAATATTCGTAAGTTCAACAAAGCAACGAGCGAAGAACTTCAGAATACCTATAGATACCCAGAGGGACACCTTGTCAAGCTCTGTATATATTTACAAAGTGAGGCCTAGAGATTGGCCAAAAGTTGGAGGAAAAAGGGGAGAAGAGTCACATAGGCACCCTTACATGGTCAAAGTCATACATGCTACATGATAGAAAGTAACAACATTTACGAGATTGGAAGGATTCCGACCATAAGTCATGGTGTGAGAAAGAGGCCTAAAGGGGGGAATGCCCTGGCCTTTGGAATTATTCACAGAACATATGCCTAGATGGCAAGGAGAGTACTAAAGTAGTCAGAAGGCATAAGTCATGAAAATGATAAGTGCATCAGTCAACATTCGAGGACGAATGTTCCAAAGGGGGGAATGATGTTACACCCCATGTTTTCGTACGAGGAAGTACGCCATAAACAAATTGATATAAGCTCAGAAATGAGATATTACATTCCGCATTTTCGTACGTTAAAGTATCGTCATAAGCTAATCACGCAAGTTCGGGAATGAGATTATTTTGAGATTATAAGCATTATGCTGTTTCAAACAAGTGATGAGTAAATTCGTGAAGGTGAAAGGGTAAGCAAATCAAAGAAAATGAATTTTCGTCAAAGTTTGACATGTTGGGATAAAATACCGCCCGAGCTAAAAATACTCGGTATTTATGGACTAGTGCCATATAAGACACCATATGACCAGGATAGTAAGGTGTATAAGGTGTGTTATATGTGAGTAGTATATTAATTAATTTGAGATAATTCTTAATTATGTGAATTATTGGATAATGGGGGAATTAACAAGTTAATTAATAATTAATGGATGATGAATTAAAGTCTTTTAAAGACTAAGACTAATGTGTGGAAGCCACATACATGAGTCATTAAGAGAGACTCTTGAACAATTGTGCAAGGTGGCACTCTTTAAAGAATAATTGAAAAAAATGGTTTTTTAAATTCAAGATTTGGAAAGATAAAGAATTCATAAAAAGCCATAAGACTCTAACGTTATTGCTTCAGTAAACATCTTACAAAAGTTGTGATCAAATTCACAAAGTGATTATATGGAATTTGGTGCAAAAATTCAAATGAGATTTCACAAGGAAATATCAATGGGATTTTGCGATTCTAAGGGAGTACGGTGCAATCTTCCTCAAAAATATCATACGGATTTTTCCCTACTCCGATCTTGCCGTCACGTGTTTTGTCGAAATTAATGTGTGTTAGAGGGATTGTCAAGAGAATCGACTCAGGTATGTTAAGGCTTTCCCTTCTTTCTTTTGGCATGATCTATATGACACAAACAAAACGAGCAAACGCACAATTTCCATAAATGACTCTATTCATAGAAATACTAGAGATGCTTATGTCCTTGATACCCCATGTGTCATATTATTCTATCATCTGTTCATGGGTCTCAGATAATACGTAAGTTGATAAAGTTTATTTTATGATATTAATCTAAGGCAAAATGGTCTTATGACACTACGAAAGATTTTATTGACGTACTTCTTATGCATTGCATTTATTTACATTGACCCATGACCAGATGGAATTATATATGACGTTATATATGCACCACCACCTGATCAGCTGGTATACGTTGATGATTTGCCCATAATGGCCGAGATGATATGATGGGATGCCCTCAGTGGCTTGATGATGTCATGAACGCATTTACTCATGCATAGTATGACATTTATACGCATATGCATGACATTCTAATATTAAATGATTCACAGAGCTATTCAGATATACATGTTGAGTCTTTTACTCCATGTTTCTCTCATATCTATTTTTTACTGATTTCCATTCCTTACATACTCGGTACATCATTTGTACTGACGTCCCTTTTGCTTGGTGATGCTGCGTTTTATGCCCGCAGGCCCCGATAGACAAGTTGAGTGTCCTCCAAGTAGGTTGTCAGCTCAGCGGAAGATGTTGGTGCGCTCCATTTGCTCCGTAGTTACTTATTTGGTTGGTATGATTTAGACATGTATTGATTGGTATGTCGGGGCCCTGTCTCGGCCTTATGACGTTTATTTACCCTTAGAGGCTTGTATACATATGTCATGTATATGTAAGATTGTATGTCCTTGTCGGCCTATGTTAAGTGTACGAGTGATTATTTTGGCCTTATAGGCCCGTACGTCATACGTAAAAGTTTGGATTACATGTTGGGTCTTCCAAGGTCGAGTATTTTCCCCATGTTTTATTCTACTTATCTTACGATAGCCTCTCTGGCTCATTTACCTATGATAGTATAATACGAAAGATACGTTACATAGGTACTCGACTAAGTAAGGTACCGGGTGCCCTTTACGGCCCATCGGTTTGGGTCGTGACACTTCTCTACTGGAATTATGATAGAGGCATGTGCACTGCTTGCAAGGTTACCCCGAGTGAGTGTCTACCGACACAGTATAGGCTCTTACTAATGGACCTGGAAATTAATATAAAGAGGAAGAAGAGAGCGGCGTATGGTCAACCCAAGATAAAATGGGAAGCCTTGACTAAGGGCAAAGATCATGAGTTGGGGAGAAGTTGATGGCTATGGGGGGCTAGAGGAATAGTGGGAACATGAGTAATATGTGGACCACGACAACAAATTGTATTAGAGAAGCTTCTAGAGAGGTGTTAGGGGTCACGAATGGATACACTGGATGCCACAAAAGGGATTGGTGTAGGAATAAAGAATTCCTAAAAAATGTGAAAGCCAAGAAAGCAACACATCTGATTCTAGTGGAGAGCGCAATCAAGGAGGAGAGGAGGACGAATAGGGAGTGCTATAAGAGGGCTGAAAAAGTGGAAACATTAGCGGTCACGATGGCTAAGAATGCAACGTTTAGGCACCTGTATGAGGAACTGGGGAGTAAAGGCGGTGACAAGAGACTATATAGGTTAGCAAAGGTTAGATAGAGAAGTACCGGGACCTGGATCAAGTAAGGCACATTAAAGACGAGGATGGTAAGGTAGTGGTGGATGAGACGTCTATTAGGCTTAGGGGGCACACATATTTGTATAAACACTTGAACTAAGATGGGGACAAGAACATCCGGCTTGGTGAGTTGGAGAAATCAGAAAGCCAACGAGTTTTTGTTTTTGTAGGCTCTTTAAGGTGGAGGAGGTTGAGGGGGTGATGCGGAAGATGAGTAGGGGTAAAGCGGCTGGGCCAGATAAGATTCTGGTAAGATATTTGAAAGATGGGGGCCAGGCAGGCTTGGAGTGGCTTAGTGGATTGTTTAATGTCATTTCAGGACGCAGATACCCGATGAATGGAGTAGGAGCTTGATATTCCCTGTGTACAATAATAAAGGGGATGTCCATAATTGCAACAACTATAGGGGTATCAAGTTGTTGAGTCACACTATGAAAGTTTGGGAGAGGGTGGTGGAGATGAGGGTGAGTAGAAGTGTGTCTATGACTAAGAACCAGTTTGAATTCATGTCGGGGCGGTCGACTACTGAAGCCATTCATCTTGTGAAGAGACTGGTGGAGTGGTATAGGGAGAGGAATAAAGACTAGCATATGGTGTTCATTGACCTAGAGAAAGCCTAGGACAAAGTCCCGATGGAAGATCTATGGAGATGTTTAAAGGTTAGTGGCATCCCAGTAGCATACAGTAGGGTGATTAGAGATATGTGTGATTGTGCTTAAACTCGAGTGATGATTGTGGGAGGAGACTCAGAACGCTTCCTAGTGTTGATGGGGTTACATCAGGGATCAACTCTTAACTCGTTTCTATTTGCTATGGCGATTGATGTGTTGATGCGACACAGCTAATTGGAGATTCCATGGTGTATGTTATTTGCAGATGATATAGTGTTGATTGACGAGGCGCGCTGCGGGGTTAACGCTAGGTTAGAGGATTGGAGACACACCCTAGAATCTAAAGGTGTCAAGTTGAGTACGATGAAAGTTGAATACTTGGAGTGCAAGTTTAGTGAGGGGATGCATGAAGAAAAAGTGGACGTAAAGCTTGATTCATAAGTCATTCCCAAGAGAGATAGTTTCAAGTACCTCCGGTCTGTTATCTAAGGAAACAAGGAGATTGACGAGGATTTTGCAAATCGTATTGAAGCAGGGTGGATGAAATGGAGGCTCACATATGGTGTTTTGTGTGATAAGAATATGCCACCAAGACTTAAGGGCAAGTTTTATAGAGTGGTAGTTAGACCGACTATGTTGTATGGTATTGAGTGTTGGCTAGTCAAGAAATCCCATGTCCAGAAGATGAGAGTAGCAGAAATGAGGAGGCTGAGATGGATGTGTGGGCATACCTAGAAAGATAAGATTAGGAATAAAGTTATTGGGGAGAAGGTGGGAGTGGCCCCTGTGGAAGACAAATTGTGGGAATCGAGACTGAGATGGTTCGGGCAGGTATTGAGGAGAGACATTGATGCCCCGGTTAGGAGGTGTGAGAGACTGACCTTGGCAGGTCTGAGTAAGGGTAGAGGTAGGCCAAAGATGCATTAGGGAGAGGTTATTAGGAAATACATGGCAGCTTCAACTTACAGTGGACATGACACCCTGATAGGAAGGTGTGGAGGTCCATAATTAGGATTGTAGGTTGATAGGTAGTTGAGAGTTTCTCCTAATCGTACCAGTAATATTAGTATTATTCTTACATTTTCGTGTTCCTAAATCATTGTTATTCAATATTGTGTCATTCTGACCAGTATTTTTAGTAGTATTCTTGTATTTCTTATTTTTAGTTCTTTCTTATTACGCAGAGTGTCTTTGTTTTTTCTTGTGTTGATATTGTTGGTTGCTTCCTATTTAGTATGTCTTAAGTCGAGTTATATCGGAAACAGCCTCTCTACCTTCACAAGGTAGGGGTAAGGCACGCGTACACACTACAATCCCCAAACCCTACTTGTGGGATTACACTAGGTTTTTTTTTTTGTTGTTGTAATATTATAATATGAACCTATTATAACCCTCAAATCATCAATTCAGGGTCTCCTACACAAAAGGCTAACCTTGGTCTACTCTTACACCTTAAGGCTTCCCAAATAGAACCAAGTGTTCCAACTCACTCCCGAACCGCAAGAAAACCTAACCGCCCATCCCCACAAGTCATATAACATCAAATAAACTGTGGGAATCATAACATAAGGGAACAGGGTGAACCTAAAATGATTGGTTGGATCGTTACATTCTCCAGCTCTTAAAGAAACATTCTTCCTTGAATGGGTTTAGAAATGTACCTAAACTTTCCCAAAAGATGTGGGTATCTGCTCCGCATATCAAACTCGATCTCCCAAGTAAACTCCTCGCTCCATTGGCCTCTCCAAAGAACCTTCATCGACGCGATATCACTTTACCTGAGATTTCAAACATGCTTATCGAAAATGGCCACTCGCTGTTCTTCATAAGCCAGATTCTCATCTAACTGCACCTTGCTACATTCCAAATCATGTGACTTGTCTTCACGACACTTCCAAAGCATATAATATGAAACACCGGATGATTTCCCTCAAACCCCTCAAATGGGCCAATAAACCTCGTACATAAATTCTGCTTCTTTCCAAATCTCATCACGTCTACTATAGGTGAAACCTTCAAGAGTACCATCTCACTATCCACAAATGCCATATCACAGATATTCTTATCAGCATATATTTTTTGTCTGGACAGAGCTGTACGAAGTTGCCCCTGAATCAACTTCACTTTATCCAACGCATCCCAAAACAAGTAACTACCCAACAACCTAGCCTCACGAAGCTAAAACCAATCAATAGGGTATAGACACTACCTCCAATGAAAAGCCTCATATGGATCCATCTGAATGCTGGACTTATAACTATTATTGTATACAAACCTCACCAATAGTGGAAATTGATCCCAATGACCTCCAAAGCCAACCACACAAGATGTTAAAATATCATCCAAAATATGAATAGTTCATCAGACTGACCATCTATTTGTGGGTGAAAAGTTGTGCTAAGCTCCACATGTGTACCCAACTACCACTAAACACCCATCTAAAAGTGTTATGTGAACTGAGTACGGTCCGAAATGATAGAAACATGTACACCATGCAAATATACAATCTCTTTAATATAGATCAGTGCAAACTTCTCTGAAATTTATGTAGTCAACATCGGAATAAAATGCACGGATTTGGTCAGCATATCAAAAAATGGCCCAAATGGTATCAAATTTCTTCAAAGTGCATTGCAAGGCTACCAAAAATTCCATAGTAATATGCTTCCACTTTAACTCTGGTATAACTAACCCCTGAGTCAGCCCACCTAGTTTCTAATGCTCATATTTCACTTGTTGTCAATTCAAACAACATGAAACATGCCCAAAAAATCTTTCTTCCTCTTCTACCACCAGTAATGCTGCTTCAAGTCATGTAACGATGCGACCAACCATTTTGTGTATTTGAGCATTGTTCCATTTTTTGATGTTTCTCGCAGGTTTGTTTATGGTTACTGAGTTGGGGGATGGTTAGTTTGGTTTCGGGAAGGTTTGAGAGTTATTTAGAACACTAAGTCTCATTTCGGAAGCTTAAGTTGCTAGAGTTGATCAATCCTTTGGATTCTAAGTAATTGAACTTGGATTGGCGATTTGATGGTTCTATTGGGTTCAGATGTTGATTTTAGACTTGAGTGTATGTTCGGATTAGGTTTTGGATGTTCCTAGAAGATTTTTGCTCTATTTTTCATTTGTAATTTGAAGAATTGGAGTGTTCGTAGGTTTGACCGCTTGTTGACTTTGGTATTATCGAACTCTGATTTCTATTTTGAGACCTTGGATAGGTTCAATTATTTTATTGGAACTTGTGTGTAATGTTTAGTTATAATACAGAAGGTCTAAGTATGATTCGGACATGTTTAGCAAAATTGGAACGTTTGGAAGTTAAGAGATGGATCTCAATCTTTGATTCTTGGTTTGATGTTATTTATGGTTTTTTGAGCATTTTGATAAGTTTGGATTCTGTATTTGGACTTTTTGGTATGATTGGACAAGGTCCCG